TTGAACTGCTTTTTCTAAAAGTACCATATATTCACACAAAAATGCATTGTGACATTCCCACTAATGGCTAAAAACAACTGAACTTATTTTCAGCGAATCTAATACCAAAACTTTTGCATGGCGTATAAGTCAAGGAGTGTCCTTAGCCAGATCAACTTTTTCCCCTAGCTTTGTCTTCCAAAGGTTGTCCTTTTGTGGACAAACTTTGGAAGACAGAGCTAGAGAAAAAACTCCTGCTCCATACATTCCAGTTACTGATTTCTGGGCAGTGCAATATCCTTGTAATTCTCTTTTATAATAATTGCAAAGCATGCCACTTGTAAGTGGTTTTTTTCTTTTTGGCGTTCTTGTGCTCTCTATGAATGAATCAGTCCAATCCGTCCGTCCTCTTTGGTACGTGCTGCCAAAAACCACAGATGAGCCACAAGGGGAGAAGTTTCGCTCACCTATGTCCTTTCCGTGCTAGACCTAGCATCGCCCTTTACTTTCCCACAATCAAGTCCTTCTAATATTTATTCGTCTCCCCTTATCAGAAACAAAACAGTGTTATCTCGTCAAAGTAACACAGTCCACCACCGCGTCCACAGTTCTTGCGGTCCAGTACTCTTTCTCTTTGAGCTAGTCATCTCATTTCTCTATCATGGTCCTGCTGTGTACTTTTCATGCTTTATGTTTCAGAATGAAGTATCTTCTGCTCCTCACTTTCATAGGAATTACTCTGGCATTGCGTGACCAATCCATAGCTGTACGAGGAAAACTGTTATGTGGCGCAAAACCAGCTAGTAACGTACGTGTGAAGCTGTGGGAGGAGGACAGTGGTAATGTACATCCAAAACGTTCCGTAGTGTTTTTAGTCATTTCAGCCGGACTTTTTTCCTAAGGAAAATGCTAGATACGATTTTGCTTGGAAGTAACATGTGTGGCGAATTTATTACATATTTTTATCAAGAAGAAGATTAATGATGTATTTCTGTAGACATTGTCGATTAGAATTAATTTTTGGCTAAATGTGCCGATTGATTGACTAGACTAACATTTCTAACAAGTAAGATTGCTACAATTGATAGTTTAGGTCCCGATCCGGACGACCTCCTTGACCAAGGGTACACCGACCAAAATGGCGAATTCCAGTTGGGCGGTGGCACAGCTGAATTGACCCCCATCGATCCTGTTTTTAAAGTTTACCACGATTGTGATGATGGCATTAGGGTTGGGAGCTGTTTTAACAAAGTGATTATTCTTTTTCGGAATGAAAATTTCAGCCTGGCTCAAGGAAAGTCAAGTTTGCTCTACCAAAATCGTACATCACCCAGGGAAGAGTTCCGAAGAAGACATTTGACATAGGTAAGTAATATAACATTCATTTTATGTTCAACAGCTTTTTATTGAAGAATACTTGTTGTTCAAGATAATCGATAATTTGGTTGAAAGTTCATGCGAAAAGTGATAAAATGTTCTATGCACCGGCTCCGGCATTCGGTGCTAGTTGCACTGGGAATTTGGGAATGCTCCGGTGGCTTTTTCAGAGGAGCCTTCCTACTTTTTTGGCGTAACTTTCGCGAATCTGTTCGACGGAACTTTTCGAAAAAACTATGTTAAACTCCAGCATTTCGCACATTGCAACTCCCTAATTGAGACAAGATACAACTAAGCCTTCAAACCCCACTCATTTAGCTCTTAGGTATTAGGCTGTAAGGAAAATTTCTGGCAATAAAGGTTGAGCTAGATTTTCTGGTTTATATCGTCTTCATGAGCGGCTGTTAAGTACCGATATTCTGGTCATGTGTACTGACAACCTTACACCTGACTAGGTATATCAAGGATGTTTTGTTCCAAGACGCGGTGACCGCGTTTTGGAAAAGGCAGAGTTTAATTTGTTGAACCCTCATTTTAGTGTGCTCTGTCTTGCTGGAAAAGGGTCCAGGTACCGGAGCAAGCTGTAATCGGATGTCGCTTCAGCTAAGCATTACGATAGTTATAAAATGGATTTTCAAATCAGGCTTTCTGCGCGTCAATAATCTATAAAAATGCCTTTTCGCAAGCCTCAGCGCGACGGATTTTTTGCTTTTTTAAGTGTTTCTTCCCAGTTATTGCTACATTTTCAAAATGAATAGCGCATGTAGTAGCGGGCTTTGCACACCCACTCAGACAACTCACTGGAACTTCCGCAGGACAAGCCAAATTTGCAGAATTTCCGC